AATGCGTGTGTATTCGTGTTTGCGCGTACGCGTTTTCCGTTTCGTCGAAAAAGCACGCGGCTGAGAGACGCGCGATTCGGCGCTTTGCGTTTATCACCGATTGTTCCGTAGCGTAACGTGTGGAACGACCGGTTTTTCTCTGCTCAATGATCTCAAAGCCGTATCCGTCACATCGGGGAAAAAAAGAAAAAAAAGAAAAAAAGAAAGCGTTCCGGAAATATCGCCCGCGGCCACTCCGGACGATATGTGTCGCGTGTACACACAGAACTGAACCCACTCGGACTTTGCATTAATTCTTAGATCTAGAGAAATGGGGACGAATATAGATGACATATACGCGCGCGACATATAAGTGAATAACGTTGAACTGCATGAGCCCTGATGCGATTGTACTGAATATTCCGAGAGTGAGTTACAGGGGGATCGCGGGACTCTTCTCTCTGTCGGATAATTTCTATCTTTCGTTGCGCGTAATTAAAAGTCGCGGTAATTAACCGGTCTTAAGTGACGAGAGAAAAGTTCATAGGAATGTAAAGCGAGTTGTGACAACAGTTACGTTATTTTGAGGTAACGAGCTCGAGGTACCGTCGTTCGGCTACCATTCTTCTCGCTCACTGACGTGAGTCGATGTTGGTACATGCGTGTAAAGAAGACGATCTCCGTGAAGCTAGCGACCCATTTTTAGTATGTTTCATCACGTTATTCACCTGAGCCCTGTTTTTTCTCTCGTCATTTATTTGCTTGTCCACTATTTTAATTGCTATTTTATCCGAACAAACGGATTACGGAATAATCGGTTTTTCTTTCTTCCCTTTTTTATTTCCCTCGGAAATTTTCGTTTCGTAACAATTTCTATTTGAAGAATGCGCCGTTACTCAATCCCACCTATCATTCGTATGGCGATCCGCTCGTTAATCTACGCGAAAACTGAATTCGTCCTCGAAAAAAATTTCGTTCGGTACTTCCACATATATGCAGTTTTGCTTATATATGCGATGTTAACAAAAAAATTGTACGGTACACAAGCTCGCGAATTTTCCTTTGCGGACACGTCGTTGCGCGTTAACTTTCGAATCGTGGAATCGTTCATCTTAAAAATCGTGTGGCTCTTACATTTTGTAAAATCGCGAACTAATGAAAATGTCACGTTCTTTTTTTTTCCCACACAACTCTATTATCTACTGGTTTAAAATGTGTTTTCGAGCGTTCTCACGCATATACCGGCATGTCGATCGCTCAAAGCAGTCGAGAGTCAACTGTTGCGTGCAAGTGAGTCTTTATATCTGATTTCCACGAGTTTTTTTTTTTTTATACCTCTCGATCGACGTGGCACACAACCGAGTGTCACAACGCCACATGCCGGTTCAATACGCAGTGATAACACTCGTTCGTCTATCTAGCGACTATAAGGCATGTGAAAGGTCTAGAACCTGTGCAAAAAACTCAATGCGAGCTATACCAATCGGAGAAACGCGACATTAATTGCGATTTATTGTCAAAATCAAAGTGCGAATTTTCGGGGTGTG